ATATATACTAATAAATAAATGAGTACCAAATTGCCACGTGACAATCTCTTAGTCTCCCCCAATCAATTTTTCCCACTCAAATGTCTAAATGAATTTCCGAAAATGCTACACTGCTCAGCAAAATGAGGATCGTGATTTGCAAAAAAAATCAAACTCTATTTCAAATTCAGAAAAAATATTCAAATTCGTGTATTGATTACCCATTCATCTATGTTAAGTAGTTTCCGATTTTACAGGTCTCGCATGCACAAAATCAGGGATATACCTAAATTGATTTCCCTATAAATCAACAATCAAATCGTATCGAAAATTGAAAGTCTGGAAAAAGGGTTTTTTTCAATTTTCCGATTAACTCTTAACTTTTTACTAATTTGCGCTAATTTAGTTTTTCCTTTAATTTCCCAAGTGTTCCAGTCTCATATACTTATATACTGATAGCGTTTTATCATGGGTAAAGTCCACATAAGATCCAAGGGATTGGTGCTGGTTTTAACCCTGGTGTTTTAGAATTTGATCTTATTGATGAAGTTGTTCAAGTAGACCCTCCTCACTGTTATTTTGGATCTGAAACCGTTATATTCTTCAAGGACATTTTCTTTTTTCAAGTATAATAGAAACTTCTTCTGGAATCTATATTTTGTGGTTCCGGTTTTATATGATCTAAGATTTAATTTTGATGAAATTGTGTGTTTGTTTTGAACAAAACCTCAACAATATATCTGTTTTGATGGTTGTTATTTGATTATAGAGTTTCAACTAAGAAGGGAGATATGAGAAATTGTGAGATTGATGGTCTGACCTATGACAAATTGCATCAAGCAACAAAGAAATCATGAGATATTATTTGGTGTGGTTCTCAGGTTTACACCCTAAATACAAAAGAGCTTTTAAAAGCTATAACCAAGCAAACATTTGGTTCATGTGATTTCACCTTTTTATTGTGTATTAACTATTAACAAGTAATAAATTGTAGTGGTGATTGTAGGAGGGTCAAACGTTGTAGCATAAGCTGAAGGTGCCATATTAGAAAGCCTAAGTACGTATGAAATAACGAAACCTTTTTCTTTTTCGTTAATGAATGTTTAATTATATAATGGCCACACTTGTCGCTTTCAGTAATATTTGTTTGGTTGTTGCAAACAACAGGAGGGTGACTGCAAGTTGGGAAAATATCGGCTTCTTTACATCAGATTTAGAGTCTAACTCTCACCATTTGATCCTCTTTTTGACATTATTCATAGTTCTGTTGATTTATTTCATATGAAGTGGCAGCAAAAGAGTCCAGGATGAATGTAGGTGGTTGTCGTCAGGGTTTAGCAATGTTAATGTGGTGGTGAAGATTGATAGTTGGATCAGGGACTACTCTAAATCTCTAATTTTGGTTTGTTTTACTTTCTGGTCTTGACAATAAGGAGTTATTATTTTTTGTTCAAGGGTTTAATTATTATTCTTGAACATCAAAAAAAGAAAGAAGAAAAGACTGGGGCAAAATGGTTATTTTTAAAATTTAATAGATAAGATGTGAAAGTTGACCATTCAAGGACCAAAAATGTTATAGAATATCAAAATAAGGATGTCTAGAAAATATTTTGGAAGACCATGTTATTGTAAAGACACTGAGCTTATGAATGAATTATTTTTAAAGGATCTTCGAACATTGTAATAACTTTACAAACGTCTTCCAAAAATAATATACTGAAACTTTAGTCTGATCAACAAAATGCATTTTGTGTTATCAACATGCCTATTTGGACCTTACACATAATCAATATTTGATCATGTCAAAGACTTGGTTATATATGATGTGAATTATGAGCATTGGTTTGGCTTGCGGAATTAAAGAACGCACAATGAACATGGTGATTTCGGTGTTTAAGAGATGCAT